TTGACGCTTCTTTTTATTGCGGGACTGCCCTGTGGTACCGTGCCGTATTATTTTCTCGCCTGTTCGGGGTCCTTTCCAAGTTCCTCCGCCTCCTGCCTCTCCTTCAGCAGGAGCAAGACCATGATGGTGTTGAGCACAAGGAAGCCCGCGTTCCACTTGATGGGGATCCACACCGGGGGGCCCACAACCCGGAACAGGTTGAACATGATGTTCAGGGTGGATCCACAGGCCACCAGGTAACTGCACGGAAACAAAAAACCGTGGAAACAGACGGCGGTGTTGACGTGACGGCAGAGGCCAGCACGGCGGAGGGAAAGGTTTGACCTGACACCTTTCCTCGGAAAAACAATAAAAAATGTTTTTTGTGGTAACGCCACAAGCTCCTCCCAGTTTCTGCGGCCAGCGAAAACAGTACCTATGTAATGAACCCACAAATCAACCTTGCTTATCCATGTCGTGCTGGGAGGCAGTTGTGCTGCAGAAAGAACAAAATGCAACCCACCCATGGAGTGTTGATGATGTTAATGTTCAGGGTGACCTTTGTCCTGTTCTGTATACCGCGGTACTGTATCTCTCTTCGGCCTGCACGCCTGCTGCGCACACGAATGTACGTACTAGCTGTAGACGAGAGCAAAGTTTTCTAACCATGTCCATGATATGAGTCGATTCTACATCGTATCATAGCTGATAGAAATGATTTCCTAAGATGTCCAGCAATATCCATGACATGACATAAAAAAGAAACAAGACTACAAATGGTGTCCAGCAACATCCACGAGTAGATACCTCGCAGGGGCATTACGCTGTAAACGCGGCAAGAATCGAAGCTCGCAAAGGGGAAGGAGAAGTGCAGAATTTCCTCCTGTCTGTATGATCTTCGGCATGTGTGCACCCAGATGGATGCGGTATACTCATAGCCGCGCATGCCGTAGTCGTTAAATCATTGGCTTCGCATCCCTACAAAGACGGACGGAAGACACCGGGTTTACACCGGACCAGGCTAGCACTTCACCAACAAGAAGCTCGTGATCGCATTGCACGTCGTGGATGGTCATGATTGGACCGCTATGTCCCGCCGCTGTACGTTTTGTCAAGAATCAATTTCACCTTGAAGGAGAGAGAGAGACATACTCAAACAGTCCATCACGGGACCGGCTACCGTAACATGTGCGCCATACGATTTCCCGATATCTATTTCCGGGTGATGCTGCCGGTTGTCCCATAAAACTCGCCGGTTACATGGAGGGGCGTGGAATTACCATGGTAATCGTCATTTAGACGAGAGAGCCAGACCCTTCGCACGGGATTCCTTCGTCACTATGCGTGCGAACCATATAAACATATTAAAAACCACACTACATGGTATATACTCGGGAAACGGTCATCAAGCAGCGCAACACGCGACTTGCGCAAGAGAAGAGTATTTAATTATTCTACAACGACCGTCGTCGAGTGAGTGTTCGTAGGAGCGTCAGCGAGTGTTCCAGTAGCATTGGGGTCACAGATGACTCTTAAGAGAAGACTGCAGAACGCAGGATGACATCGAGCGCCGAAGCACATTCCGGGCATGCCGTCACTCAACCCTTTTGAGTCTTCAGGCGTTTTGACTGATCATTGATTGATAATTTGCAAATGCTGATGTAGTGGCAAGTCGTGGAGTTGCCGCCCTGCCGCCTTTCGCGCCGGGTATTGGCACGTCGATAGGTAGGTGTGTCTAGATTAGTAGCGCCCGCGCTAACCGGCTGACCAATGAAGAAACATTAGTGACAGCGGGAAAAATCAGGGTCTCGGGAATGGGGCCAATCGATGCCAAATCATGAATCTCTCAACGGCTACATACGTGTGCGTACATACATAAATACAGACATATGTGTTCTTTCGTAGCACCACACACACCCATCGTCGCCCGAACGTAGAAAGCCACTGCCGCAAAGAGCAGAGGGCAGCAAAAGGGAGGGGTATTGCAAGCCCTGCGAAAGCCCAGATATCGAGGATATCGTGTGATATGCTGCATCTCCCAACATCTTGAGAAGCGTTCCCAACATCCAGCAGTCATGGTGTCAGCAGCTATTAATACAACGAATGCAACAACACTACTTGCTACTACGCTGTAGACGAGTAAAACAAATCAGCAACACATCCACGCTCGTAGCGCCACACATACCCTCGCCCGAACATAAGAAACCACGAGGAAGAGGTGTGTGCTGGTGCGTGTACTTGTCTGAAAAACACAGGAGCTCTATAGAGCTGGGAGGGCACATTTCAGGTGGGGACAAAGAACAGAGAAGTCCTGAAGTACAAATGCCAGCTGTGGGTCTTCACTGATCATTTCACCCTGCCTGGACTGATCATTTACAATATACCGAAAATAGACTAGCTGAGCCAGGTAGACGACTGATCATTTCAAAGTCTATACAGCTGCCCTACTGACCGCAGCGCGACCGCCCACCAACCCTTCTACGACCCTGTCTGTGGCCAACACCCTGCCGCCGCCTTCCCTCATGGCCTACAGGTGGAGAGAGCTGTTGCGTGTGCAGAAGTACAACGGTGTCACGAGTGACACCGGCGACCTAGTTGCTCAGACCACCGACACCCGCGTATTTCGTACCCACCATCGAGTAGTACTATTATAGAATAGGTTTTAAATTAAACTTCTACACTAGAGGTAGACTTTCGGCTTATGGAACACTCCATGGTATCCTCGACGGTGCTGTGCTGCTGTCATGATGTCATGATCCACTTTTCTTTTCGCGGACATTTGAGCCTCTTGTTCTTGACGACCTTTCTCTCGACCCTTTTGAGTCTAGGCTGGACTGTCATATATATATTTTTTTTTGCTCTTTAAAAAATGTGAGAGCGAGAGCGAGCGGGAGAGAGAGAAGTGCACCTTCTGCAGTACAAAACACGTCGTGATACAATTTGTACAGCAGCGCGGGCCCGCTCGTAACAGAAACCACGTTGGAAATAAACCGAGGCTCCGAGTTTGGACAAACATAAGGAACATGCCCTGAGCATAGCGGCCGGCGCTACATTGATTCCTACCTCCATGTGCAACCCTTTTTTTTCTCAGTTCTGGGGACCAAAAAAGGTTTGAGCCTCGCCCAAAATAGGTGTACAAGTATCTCAAGAGCGGACCGGCACTGCTGTATTGCCCTTTTTGTTTACAATGTATTTCATTTCTAGAAAGGTGTCCCCCGTTATTTTGGGGGTAAATTATTGGCTGGTGACCACGGACGGCGTCCGTGTCAGTTGGACCAGTACGGACATCACAAGGTAATGAGCGGAGAGCGAAACGGTAATTCAATGAAAATCAAGACGACGACAACAGATCAATTGTGTCCCATGCGTCAGCGTTGTCTCTAAAAGCCGTTCCCGCAAGCAGTCTATGCTGTCGTACAATACTTAACGTCCAGACCCCGCGATTTTGCCGACGATTCGCTCCCTTCACTCTCTGCACTCCCCACTTATGTACAAAACGGTTGTTGCATACATGGAGATCCCGCGGTACATGCATGAGTCATGCATGTGGTTCTTGTGTTGGCCTTTTTATTTTTCAATAATGTGTGGTAAGACAGTCCAGTCAGTATCGTAGGACACGACGAATCCTCTTTCTTAACCTCTCTTTTGGTCTGTCTCCCGCTTGGTATGCTTTTCTTTCACGCCAGAAAAACCCACGCGATATTTTTGCACACACAAAAACAATCGGGGCAACTAACTTCCCTACTGCTGCTGCACCGTCATACCCGTCGTCTTTCTTTGTTCCCATGCACAAAATCAACGTGTGCTACAACCATGAAGGGGCACGTTAGTATCACGACTCAAGAGCGGTCGATTTTCACGGCTTCCACACTAAATGGCAGGCATCTAGAGGCGTCGCTGCCATGCATGACACCATCACGGCGGGATGGCAACCGCTGCTGCTGTACTGCAGCCCGGCCGTTGCCCTTTGCTGCTGCAGCTATTTGTGTTGAGGAGGCACGGACGTACGCACATCAAAGCTCGTTTACTCCTCTTCCGTGTGCCGTGAACCGACATTTAGGGCGTGAAGGGGCGAGTTTAGGTCCATGCTCAAACCCTCATCAAACAAGTGCTGCTGACAAGTGCAAGGATACTCAGCTAAATGTTCAGCAGTGGGCAGCCGGCAAAGCAGCAAACCGAGAGCGACGTGCATGCACGTGAGGAGATCTGGAAAACGCAGCAACAGCACATGAGCAGCAACCAGCAGATGTGCAGCAAAGCAGCAGTCGCGTGGACGCCGCAACGACAACACTCCGCATCTTCTCGTCGCACCTGGTGCACACACACACCAATCTCTCTCACCGTAGCTTCAGCACATCCGTCTCGATATAGGCAAGCGTGAGGATCGCAAAGCTGAGGTGTCCGCAAAGAGCCCCAGCGTTGGTCACCGTGTCCAGCGCCTCCACGCCAAGCCACCTCATGGGGCGCCGCTCCTTGATCATGATGGGATGCACCTTGTCCATGAGGGGCTGCAACGGGCCAGGCACCCTCGGTACCATGGTCACCAAAGGCTTGGGCGCCATCGAGCTGGCAGTTATTGCCCTACCCCCTGCGAGCCGTGGAGGAGCCCTGGCCTTCGATACGAGTGCGCGCGAGGAGCCAGGAATCACCCCAGCTGCTGCGACAAATCTGCCGCCCTCTGCCCGGACGTCAACGATAGCAGCAGCTCTTGCTTTCGGCCCAACATGCCGCCGCTGCTGCTGTCGCGCAAGGCGACAAGTCGTCCGTCCCGAAGACAACCTCGCAACGCTTATCATGGGTACGCAGGTTCGCCAAGACCACTGCCACCCCTTGCCTCACTCACGGCGACACACACCACCACGCGCTTTCTCGTCCTACGTGCTATGAATATGTCGCGTGGTTCAGAATTAAATCTTCAAGAACCGCCGGCAGCAGCAATCGAGGGGAGCCCACAGAGAGGACAGAAAGGTGGGGGACGGGGGGTGTTCACTCAGGATGCTCGGCCACCAGTCTGTTTCAAGTTTCCGCTTTCCGCTGTCAGGTTTCGGGTGATCGGGTTGAGTTTACGCTACTCTCCTCTCCGCAAGCGCTCTCGTCGTCCCGTGTTGATCGTAGCGCGTGTCTCGATTGCGATCGTGCACCACTGTACAGCTCGAAACAAAGCTTTCGAGGCGAGAGAAACGGAGAGCAAGTGTATTTCAGCAGTTCCTTTTTGGGCGTGTAGACACGGGAACAGCATGGCGACCACACTGGCACGAGCAGTGCAACGGACTACAACTGCGGCACCTTTGGCCTTGACGCACAAGGTGAGGCTGGCTGATAGATCGCCGAACAATGAAATGTGTGTCTCTGGATTTATACTGCCATATTATCTGCCTAGGCTCAGCAGCAGTTTCGGACCGTGTATCTGCGCAACAGCTGCATGGGGCCTTTCCTGTTGCACTACTGGTTGATGGAAGTTTCTTGAAACGTCGCATCATCCACCACCGTGACAGGTTTACATTTGCCTTTCGCCGGCATTCGACAGCATGATACCTTTGCAACATACACAACTTTTTCACCCTTGGCATTGTTGTCGGCCAACCCGGTGTGCCGGCCTAAAATTCTTCGAGCACTACCGCTGTGCTACATGTTTTTGACGATACGTCAACTTGCACAGGCCTCTCGGTCGTGTCGGCATCAACTCATTATAATAATAGCAGTATATCGGCCACCTCTGCAACCATTTGGCAGCGGTAATCTGTACAGATAGTGTAGCAGTACATGTGGGGTTGTCACCATACTGTCGGACGTAGGCGCACGTCCTGCTCGGCACACCCTTGGCCTCGACCTCAGCAACGATAAGAAGCGGTGCTTGGACCGTGCGGACAATCGGGGCTAGTTGTGAGCGCAAAAAGTTGGTTGGCAGGCTCCTGTTCAACTGTTCAACTCCCAGCCGTGGCGTTTGGGAAGCACCGACAGCCTTGATACAGCAGTAGCGCGCAGCTGTTGAAGGTTGCAGCAAGTCATCCCCCAGTTGCCGACCTGCCCAAATCTCTGCGTAGTCTATTTCTGAAGCTCGATACCCTCGATCGACCTAACTCAATCCCTATTTAATTTGGTAGCCTGGTTAAACGAATGGGCGCAGCCAGGCATAATCTTTGCTCTGCTCCGCCTTGATTCTTGGTGCCATCATCACACAGCAGTCTTGGAAGAATGATGCTACGGGGTCTTAGACTGTCATCCAGTAAACACACATTGTAGCGCAAGGTCCATAGACTACTGGAGTTTTCATCAGTTGTTCGCATGCAAGTACCACAATAGGTGCGGGCGGCCTATGTGTTGCGTACGTACATTTGACTAAGTCTCGTCACTGTTGGTTCAAGCGATGATATTTCTCAACTCTACCTTTCTATCGTACCCTGAGCGTGCTCTCGTACACAATAAATCCAAGGCCGCCGTACTCCCAGGTTCTGCTGTGAACCCCAAGCTTACGCTTTGCCTCTATTTCCGCGGGGGTGGGAGCACTACAAGTACCACTGCTAGATACGCTCTACCCGCGCTTTTAACCTTGGCCTTCCTTATGTGACACTGACTGGTGCTTCCAGAACTTCACCGAAAAAATGTGTGAGGACGAAGGTGACACCCAGACGAAATGGGACAAAAAAAAAGAGAAAAAACGCGACCGCTGACGGAAGACTATTTTTTTTCGCACCCCATTGACATTTGCAACACTTATAGGGCCGGCCCTTGGTGGCAGCGGCGGGCTCGCACGCCTTGAGCAGAAGCAGCTCCTCTAGTGCCTCTGACAAGGAGAAGGAGTCGTACACGACACGGCAGGCGAGGACGGGTAGGCCGGTGTCGCCCCACGTTACCATCTATGACTTCCCCCCGGCGGCGCTCTCGTCCATCGCGAACCGCGTTAGTGGAATCGCTCTCGTGGCCGGTAAGTTTTTGAGGTAGCAGCGGCAGCGGCAGCGGCAGCAGCAGCAACAGCAGTACATAGCACAACAGCTTTCGCGAGCATAGTGAGCTTGGTTTCAGAAGGGGATGCGGGTTGGGGTTAGGGTTAGGGTGAAGGATGGGGATATGAACCCCCCCTGCCTACTGTATATTTATTAACAAGAATCCTCGCGAAGGCGTTTCACTAGCAGCAGTAGTAGCAGCGGCAGCAGCACAGCGCCAGCGACACTTGAAATAATACCCACGATAGAAGCGTGAAGAAGTGGTGTTACATACATAGCCGTATCGCGACCTAAGCTATAGAGGCGGCGGGCGTCGAAGGGACGTATTGTCCGTGGGAAGGTACCTTCGTTGGAGGGAAACCCAAGTCTTTGTCGGTTCATGAAAGCACGACCGTGAACGCCATGCCTTCGACTTGTGGACGGCGTGAGAGAAGTCGCACTACAACTCAAATTGCGGCTGGTTTTCTCCAAGGAGCGGGATTGGACACACGCCCTCCCGGCGGCTTCATCAAAGTCGGAGTGCAGTATCCAAACAAGCGTTCTTTTTTTTCTGGGAACCGAGAACGAACGCGTACGACTTGCGCTTGTTTTTGGCAAGGGTAGAGCAAGCGATCGTGGCGAGGGATGGAGTGGTGCGCATAAACGATCAAGTTTTCCAAGACCAACGCAACCACCTGGGACGCGTTCATTCTTTCGCGATGTTGTATCTACACCTGACCACCCTTACCCCCCACCCCTAACCTACAGAGGTATAGATGTCCCGAAAAGAGGAAGAGAATCTGCGTACGTGTGTCATTTTCTCGTTGTGGAGAATGTCTTGGGAGCGATTCACGTCGCCTCTGAATCCTCCCAGCAGCAGCGATGGCGCTCCTCCTACAAGGCCATGCGTGGTCCACGATCCAAACCACTACGGCAAGCACCACAAGTACCCCCCACACACCCCTACTCCCTCTGCGTACCCCCCAGGGCTGTACGGCATCTCTGGAGCTACACTCGTTGGATGCGATGCCGCCGGCCTCATGAGCGCTCTAGGCTCTTCAGGAGTTGGTCCAGCGGTCAAGGTGGCGGTGTCGTTCCCGCTAGTGTACCACTACCTCGGGGCCGTAAGGCACACGGTGAGCGAGCCTGAGCCTGTTGGCGGGGACGTTGGCGTGGGTTCTCCGGCCTTGCCGACGCGTGCCCTTCGTTGAGCTTGTGGCTGTTTGTTTCTGTTGTCGTCGTTGTTGGCGTTGTTGTTGCTGCTGCGGCTGCTGCTGCTGCTGCTGCTGTTGTTGTTGTTGATGGTATATTGTTGTTTTCGTCGGGGTGGACAAGTTCGAACCATCGATCTAGGTCATGGTCAGATGCGATGGCGAGTTCCGCAATTACCCCAGCACAGTAAATACTGCTAAACTGGCGAAATCAGTTACGACAAGGTAAGGGTCAGTACCATCAGCGATACTGCAGACATCGCTTGGGTAGCAAGGGTTCGAAAGGGTCCAGGTAGCCTTTGTCCCTCTGTTACGGCCGAAAATGTTCGGGGAGCCACCTTCAGGCCGCCGCACCGTAGGTGACATAACGCAATATACCACACATCCTGGATCGATTTTTACGACTCCATGTCTCCACAACGAAGAGGATGCATGATTCAACCGATCCGCTTTCCGAAAGCTCGCGACGAGACGCTTCCGACGCCGCCGTTTTCGGCACCACCGCTCTTTCTGCTGTGGAGTGTAGTCGAGGTTTGAAAGTCGGTCCTGGGAGCGTGGTATCTTTTGTCACCTACGGTGTACCAGTAGTCGCAGCTTGATCTCTCCGCGACCCTTTTCTTGGCTCATCGTTGCTATAATAGACACGGGCACCTAGCGGCTCCTGCCGGTACTCTTTGGGCTATCCTACCGGCATTGTTATTTTAGTGAACAATGAGAGGTGCTGTTGCCCACGTTGAGTAATCCAGCTTGGCAATTGGATTCGGGTGTGTGATAGCTGCTATCAAGCACGCACAAGGTAATACGACCCTCGCTTCTCCCTTTTCCTTCCGCGCATCGCAAAGCGCATTGGCGGATGTTGTACCCTACCGTGTATTGACTACAAGTCATGATACAAGGAAGCCTTCGCGTGTGCATTTCCGATCGTCGTCACCGATGTGCCCTGTCCATGCAATTTTGATGGGAATGCTAATCCTCCCCCAACAGGTGTGGGATTACATGCCGGAAGCTCTGCAGACGGCCAGCGTGACCAAGACTAGCTATGCGCTGCTTGGCGTCTCCGGAGCCGTTAGCCTTGGTCTGGCAGCGGTGTAGCTCCTAGCGGCAACAGTCTATACCCACCCTTGTATAGATATTCTTTGTAGGGTTATCAAATCATCGCATGCATACTTGCGATGGTTGTATATTACCTGTCGTGTGTTTGAAGGATATGGATGGTAGTGTCGTTTTGTAGGGAGGGGCACGAGAGGGGGTCATCCTGCGAGGATGATCGTGTGCACGTGTGTGCTTGCACGTGTGCATGTGTGCTTGGCGAGGAAGCAGTCTGTTGAGTAGCGCGTCATGTCGCTGGCCAGGCTAGTGGTTCCGGGGTCAAAAGCCGCCCTCGTGGCTACTTTCGTTGCTGATCTGGAAGTCGAGTCGAGGCCTGCGTGACAGGATCTAGCCGCTTATCGATCGCAATAGGACTGCCAATAGTTGCGACGGCTACGGGAGCACGGCTTTGTAGAGGCCGAAGCAGGTGTATTAGATACGGCGGCACGCATTGGTGCAGGATGGGTTGTGCACATCTGTGGCACATAGCGGTAACCGGGAGTGGCTGTTGCAATGATGGCTCCAAGACAGAAAAGCAGTGCAAATTTGCAAGAAACCCATCATGAATTTGTTTGACTGCTGTGTTGGGGCCTCTCTCTCCTCATGCCCCCGTCGCCAACGACCCCTGCCACACCGTCTGCAAAATCGCGACAAGACCGCTTGCTTTGAAGAACGTGAGATGCCATAAAAACACGAGAACGGCGATGCGGGAACAATATTGAGAACGACGATGCCAATTGTCCTTTTCTGTTCGCTGCCAAACACATTCGCTGTTCTTCCCGACATGTGGAGTGGATTGGGTTGGCTCTTGATCTTCCCAAGTATGCGGAAGTCCCGTTCAACTGAGCTAGAACAACGGTTGGGGTGGATAACATTGCTAAAGCAATCGACTGCCGCTGGAGAAGCTTGAAGGGTCGATGCACAAGAACGAATGCCGTCTGTGTATTCGAAAAGACGTCGGGGCCGTTTGTTACGAGGTGACTCAACACACCCTTGGCTCGTTGGGGCACGATGCTCTCTCTCCGTCAACCGTCGATTTCCAAAGGTCAGCCCCTGCCTATGCTGTCTTCCTTGCGCATCACGCTCGAAAATACAAAAGTAACACGAGCAACCATCGCCGCTGCAAGGGCTTGCAGCCGCCTCTCCACAAAATATGACTGGCAAGCGCTCACTAAGCACGTACCCCGACCCCCCCCTCCCTCTCCCATTGGCGGCCATCCCTGTCGGAACAATGCCCCGTCCTCTCGAGGACGCGTGGTCAATGGTCTACTGCTTGTGACAGCTAAGGCACGCAAAACATAAGCACGCCTACCCCCCCTCCCCCGTTACATCGGCATCATCACAATAAGGCTTTGGATATATCTGAACACTTTCCACCCTCGCATAGCAGCTACAGAATACTATATACGATGTGCTCGACCCCGCCTCTCTCCCCCTTTCTCTTGCTGATTTTTCGTGCAGAAGAACTGCGCTCTTGGCGCCCGAGGTAAACACATTTTTCCCAAAGAGAGCATAGTTAAGCCGTGCCCCTTGCCGTTTTTGTTGCGCACATGAAAAAACGCGGCAAACAAGTCCTAACCTGTTTTTACGCCAGTTGGCGTCACACATGATATATACATATGTTTCGCCGAAAGTACAGATAGACTATAAGACTGTCCGCTATACGGATGAAGCACACAACGCAAAAAAAGGAATACTTGGCCCTAATTTTGTGAGCAGGAAACCATTTTACTTTTCTACGAGAATCAACGGACCCCACCTGGACATACGTTAATGCCGCAACGAATGTAGTACGCAGTACACGCGCCTTACCACAGCCGTGTAATAGCACCTCACAAGCACAAACAACACTTATGTACAGCACTTGTAGCGGTCCCTCGAACGGCGGCGCTGTTTCCACGCACGCCGGAGGCGTTCCCGATTACGAACCCATCCGAAACCCATTTTACGTATGTACACATCACACCATCCGCATCCAATCGAGCAGCTTCACGGGATAGCCACGGAGCATACGGTACGGTATTCGATCATGTACAGGTGGAGCGACAACGCCTCCCCCATTCCCTCCAAAAACGCGCGTCGTTATCCTTGCTCGAACACGGTTCGTTCGTGACAGCACAACATCAACCAACCAATCGTGTGTAGGAATGAATCCTCCCCCCGCTATGGTACATGACACACTCACACACGTCTGCGCAGACAGACAGATCGGACGAGTCAAGGATTGTGTCAAAAAAATGATGAAAACCCTATTGTCTTCTCCACCACTGGCTGCAATCGAGGCCGCATTCAGCCGACACGACGTGGCAGGGCCGCAAAACAGTTCATGCAATTCTCCGAAGTCGCACTACACGAGGTCCCGTCGCTCCCCCCTCTGTTTGCATGTTGCAAACCGAGCATCCTTTTGTACATCCCAAAACCCAAACTCCACAACACGTTCAACCGTTGTGATACACTTACTTCCAACAGCACCTTACTCCTACCTTGAGGGCTTTCTGTCAAGGGTAGAGGGATTCCTCTCGAGGCGTTGGAAGCCAACCCCAACCCATCCTTCTTCGAAACATGGCCTACAAAAAATAGACTATCTGACATTCGTGCTAAAGCTGTGCCTGCCGATCGCCCGCTCTCGGGGCCGACAGCGAACAACACTTCAACCCCAGGCTAGCAAGTAGTAGCAAGCTGCGTTGCAGATAAAAACGCACTCGACAAAGCGTCGCGAACCAGAAGCTAGCTGTCATTTCCGTAGAACTCGCCCGGAATACCGCTGGGTGAAGCCCGTCGAACTGAGCCGTGGGCAGGGGAGAGGGAGAGCATGCGCTACAGTAGGTCGGCCGCCTACTCTGCGCGTCAACTATAGTCCACTGCAATGCATGCCACATCAACAAGACGCCGAGTGTTTCCTTGGCCCACTTACGGCATGCAGAGCGTATTTACACACACAGCAACAACAATATCAATCCCCGGTTGATCCTTTCTCCGTTCAACAGAGCAGCACGGGTGTAATGTCATCATCGGATGCATCCAAGGCTCTCGCCCTACTCACAACCTTCGACACGTGCTCTCATGAGTCGAATTGACTACAGCAATACAGACGCCCCCACCCCCCCACTGTCACAGACGCAAAAATTACAAACGTGTTCTTGACCCCCCCCCCCCCCCCCCCCCCCCCCCCCCCCCCCCCCCCCCCCCCCCCCCCCCCC